ACAGCACACGTGATCTGAGGAAAGTCACCACAGTGCCGCCAACCTCTGCATATTCTCCACAACATAGCCACAAAATGGACACCTTGGTCCGTGATTTTGATGAAGCTCTCCTCAATGACCTGGAGTGCCCTGTCTGCACGGAGTACATGAGTCCGCCAATAACGCTCTGCAGCAATGGGCACAATATCTGCAAGAAATGCAGGCAGAATGTCGAATGCTGTCCGATCTGCAGAGGACAGCTTTCAGGTATAAGAAACGTCACCCTGGAGAAGATCGCGAGAAGACAGCAGTACCCGTGTACGAACCGGGACAGAGGCTGCCCCCAGGTGTTCTCCATGGACCTAATCGCCGACCACCATGCCGTGTGTCGCTACGGGCCCTTAAGATGCCCTATGAACAAGTTCCCATCCGTCAGCTGCTCGTGGAAGGGACTCTTGTCGGAGATCAAGAAGCATGTTCAAGACTCGCACGAAGCCTACTTCAAGGACACGCCTTACGTCAGGTCACATTACGTAGGGAATGGAGAAGCAGTGAGATTTATCACGAACGAAACATTTTTATGTTACAAGAGGATCAAAGACGACAAGTTGTTTTGTGTGGTTCAGTTAGTGGGCACAAAAGAAGAGGCTTCGAAATACAAAAGCCAGTTTACACTTTGCGGGGGGAACGGTGTCGATAAAATTGTAGAGACTTTCGTTGTCAGAAGTTTTACAGAAGATTTTTGTGAGAGTTTTCAGTCTGGAAAATGTCTGATCCTCGATGACAGAGTGATTAGGAATTTTGTTGTGGATGGAAAACTCAACTTAACGATCAGTGTTTCGACAATTGAGAAATGACAACAACAAAAAAACCCTGCAAATTCAATCGATGTGCTAAGCCAGAGAACGCCAGTGAATTTTGAACTTACGGCATCAACAAAGACGTCTTCTTTTTTTTATTTGTAGTGTTCTGTCTGACGACAGGTCCATATGAACAGGATCCTTCCATCCTTTTCTCGGACTGGGACCTGTTCATATACGTTCTTGGCAGAGATGATCAGAAGTGGTTTGCCATTGCCTTCTTCATGAACAGGATCCTTCCAACCTCTTCAGGTTGTCAGGGACCTGCTCATACATATATACATTCTTGGCAGAGATGATCAGAAGTGGTTTGCCATTGCCTTCTTCTGTGTGTGAGTGGAGTAATTGTTGGGATGCCACGGAGAAACCGGGGAAGCCCCCGGAGGAAAACTCCGTGATGCCTAGACCACGGCCTTGCCCAACACAAGTTATAAATTTGAGCACCACAGGGAATTGAACCCGGGACCCCAGGCTTACAAATACTTAATCACTTATTACATAATTAATTGTAACGTTCATAAGTGTTTAAGACAATTATTTACATACAAAAATATTCATTTAAATCCAGCACTAAAATGCGGAAAATTAATTCGATATCCGTAAAAACTATTTTAATCTTCTGCATTAAGACTATAAATGTATGTAAATATCGAAGGGAAACACCCTGCTGTTTAACGTGTTTCACAAGTGTATTCAACGCAATTGAAGAGTTTGCTCCAGCACACTCTCATTCCTTCTTTAAAACTGTCTAACTAACTGCAGTCCTCGTTAATTTATTAAATTCTGCTTCAAGAAAAGTCTGATTTTCGAAAACCACGTTCTTCACTTGGGTTAGTTGAATGATCTCTGTTGAAATGCTTATCATGTTTCCGGGTAAGGAAGCAGCTCAACGTGTCTCATTCTTCTTATTTGTTACTTAAATCTCACTTTTAATTTTTTGGAAATGGTATCGTGTTTCATAAATATTATATTAAAAATTTCAACGACTTCTGTTGTGTGTCTTAGGTTGCATTACTGAAGCTATGTCAGACATTTCAGATTCAAGAAATTCAATTCCTTTCAGTTCTAAACAGAATGCTTCATCAAGACTATGCCTTACAAGTACTAATTTGTCCGATTCTCCTCCTTTAATTGCAATAAGAAACGCGAACCACCCCTCCTTGTCGACTGAGTCCTTCTGGGTTGTTAACGCCTTGTGGGATAAAAATGGCATCCGTCTTCAAGTTTAAAATCCACGAGACAACAAACATCACCGCTGTTGTGAGAGCCTCGAATTATTATAAACTCTCGTTGACACACAATTTCCTCCCATTTATGTTTAGTCATAGAATTTTTAAATTATGTGATTCTGACCACCTAAAGACTTCGCATTTTATCCATATTGCAATTTTTCCCAGACGTTTGTAACCTTCCAGGGACTTACAGTGACATTAAACCACGCAGACCCAAGGCGCCCCATAGCTGTCTGTCTGTGTCTTCGACTTCCTTGCGTCAGCTTGTTTAGGGCAACAAGCAACCTGGAGAAAGAATTAAACACGATTTATTTTACTTGTTGTTTATTTAACGACGCCGTCGGTAGCTCAGGCTTTACAGCGTCGAATTATACGATGATTAATAAATAATGAATTAGAAAAGACGTCGAAGAAATTTGTCGCTGACGAAATGAAGACACAGTATCAGCTTCTGATGGCAGCGAGTGAGTAACTTCTGCTAAAACCAGTTGATGAACCAGCGACCTCTCTCTCTCCCCCCTCCCCACTTGAACACGAAACATTCAGTCAAGACGTCTGTTATTAGGAGATGAGAGATCGCAGAATGAAAAAGTGAAGAAAAAGACCAATTCACTTAAGGATACTTGACATAGATAGAAGGATAATATTAAAATGGATCTTAGGTAAGTCCGGAGGGTGTGAAATAAAAAGGAATGGCACGTGATCTAGAAAGACCTCTTTCTGTTGTGTGTAGTGTGATTAGTCTTGTAATAAATACACACAACAGAGCACTGGAGGAGTTTGAAGAATATGTCTGTGTGCTCTGATGGGATACACGCCTTTGCCCTCGTGTTCTCTAAGATAAAAGTCACACTGATCGTACATCACGGGGTTTAAATACGCGTCTATCACTAGAAACAAGTGCCGTGGTTCCAGCGCACGAGAACTTGTTAAAACGCGTTTCATGAACAAGACGTAATGATCAAATCGATCAGTAATCATGGTAATCGTAGGACACGATGTTTGACACTAATTGCAGCAGCGAGCGTTACTCAACAGAAACGAACGGACGACGACGGTGAATGCAATTCAAAACTACGCCACGTGTATGGAAGTATTTCGCCAACACTACTCAAGCATTTTGTTAACTTATATTCGTCCCTGGAAGTAAAAGATTGTTGTTTCACGCCCACACAAAACACGGCGAAAATTCAGGTTCTCAAGAATGGAGATGACTGTCTTCTGCTCCGTGTAGTCTGGCAGATGTATCCTGCCTCCATCATCAGGACGATAGCATCCAAATTACAGTAATCTTAAAAACACTGTAATGGAAACTGGTTTATCTGACATGAATCTTTCTTTTTAGCGTTGTGGAATGTTTCCTAGATGGCGATACTTTTAAAACCGAAAAATAAGGACTTCTTTTCTTAATTTTACCATAAGCTCTTAACGATTCTCAAACGATTCGATGCTCCTATGATTACGTCAGTGCTAATACTTTCTTGCTGGTTTTAATCTCGGCCTAGAATCATCTCTGACAAATCATTGACCACGCTGCAGCCTAACTGTGCGCCAGGACCTACACGTCATGGAACTTGTTACTAGCTAAGCTAATCTAAGCCAAGGCCTACAATTCCTCCTCGCATCCTGTAAACAAGGTGTGACGCTTCACAATACGGTCTTCAATGACTGGCGTCATTGAAGACAATTGGTTGTTACATCTACTCACGTTTTCCGGTTGATCGTGGAATAACAAACTGCAACAGGCGGAAGCCGCTCGATCTGAAACAAGAGTAAGCGTTTCCGTGTAGAGTTGATGCAATTAATTATGTATAAGTCGCGAGGGATCACGTGAAGCGAGAAGCATCCGTGAAGCCGTTCACCAGACAATTACAATGGCCAGAACGTAACCCCTAGCTCGGATCAACTACACACGTGGCAGAGAAGTCAGCGGATGAAAATGCCACGGATTGTACCCGTGCATACTCTCTCTCTTCGCCGTCCTCGTCTCCTTTCCACTTTCCATCTCAAGCTCGGAGTTATTTTGCGTCCGCTGTACAATTTAACAACGAAGCATTACGTGAACCCTGTCAAAAGCAGTTATTTGCCTGGTATAAATATTGTTTTATCACTTTTGAACAGAACGTCAGATTTGTTTTTGTGAAAACGCTGGGAAAAAAACCCAAAAAATTAACTACGTCTATGCTGGCCTTTTGGATTATAGCCCTGAAGATGGAAGCAGTTCGTTGGTCCGAAACGATGGCATCTGCGAAGTTCACAAGGCGTTACAACCAAGGGCTTCTTCACCGTCGTGGGAGCTTTAAATATAATTTATAATAGAAAGTTTAAGTGCGTGTTCATTCTCCGCTCAAAATGGATTGGGGAACATTTTGAAGATTATAATCAACGGGAAATTTAAATGAGGCGTCTGAAAATTGTTATTTTAAGTCATTATGTCTAGCACTTGACATCTGGGAGACGGTTAATTTTATTGCCAGCGATCTCAGTAAAAGGTAATTTCTTCACACCAAGACGGAAAAGATGATACTGAACGATTTAACAGGTGAATGCGCCAACATCTAATGCAAGTTCCACAGAGTCATACATAATACGTGGAACTTCTATTTATTTTCCGTCGGAGAATTGTTAAAACTTTTGTGTCACAAACTATTACAATTATTTCCTTAAATTCCAGATCGGGTGTTTTTATAAATCTTAGTAGACAAGTATATTAGACCGCTTTCAGTCTTAAATCATTATCTATAACAATCAACAGAAGGAGTAAGGCTCAGTCAGGATGGTAATTCATACATTTGCAATAAGGATACAGAATGACAATAATATTAATATAATAATAACAAACAATGATAATGAGCATATTCTGATATATTTTCACACAATGAGGAACACTGGTAAAGCAGTGGTTCCTCATATATCGACATACAAAAGACATGTAAATATAATAGTTGTTTCAGTACTTGCTTGCCTTCAATGATGTTACAATTAAAATCGTTTTAAAAAAATTGGTAGAAATAAAAGAATCCTAAAGCAATTGAGTAAATTACATTAAATATATGAATTATAAAAAGGTCACTCACAGTTATTGCGGGACACAAACATTTTCCATAAGAAGCATTTGTTAAAATTGACACCTTAATCGTTTAAATTTAAAAAAGTAATCAAATGGCAATCCACTACTACTTCATCTCTGGGGGGCACAGTCTTTGTTGTTCTGTCCACAACTGGAAAGTATGTTGTATTTGATTTCGTTCGCATATAAAGGACTATATGTGTACGATAATATATCGTACTCTGTCTTATAACGATCATGTACTTTGTTTTCGTTTGCTACATTTATAAATTTGAGAAATTAATAGAAATTCAACTTAATATAAAGCAGCTAACATTTTACATCTTGTACGAATCAACAAAACCAAAAGTTCTTCGTGGATAATTATTCTGAGTTGTAATCTAAGACAAAAGTAACGCTGTTAGTCTAGTTATTAAAATCAAATCTAATTCTTTCCTTTCACTTAATTCTGTCACAGTCATTTTCAAGTTAGTTTCTGCCATACTTGTGAAATTACCTGGAGTAGAAATTTCACAATTTTCAGGCTTTAACATGATTAATTTGTTGTTCATAAACTTGTCTGCGCCCACCTACATAAAATTTATTAATTGTAAGAAGAGTGTTGGGATGAATTTGTGTCTCGTAATACTGTGTTCTGGACATGTTCGTGTATCCTTGTTCGCATAATATTTCCATCTATAACTGAAATTTTTCACGACGTATAATTGTGAAAGATATGATTATTTTGTCACCCATAAAACACCTT